GGGTTTGGGTCTGGGTCCTGGTGTGGGTCCTGGTCTGGGTTCTGGTCCTGATCTGGTCTGATCTGGGTTCTTTTGTGTTGCAGAGTCAGACTCAGACCTGATCATCAGAGTCGTGGTGATTCTTCTGTTGAAGCTCCTGTTCATCCTCCCAATGACCTACTGCTACTGCAAGGTACTGACCTGGTTTAGTCCTGACTTAGTCCTGGTTTAGTCCTGGTTTAGTCCTGACTTAGTCCTGGTTCAGTCCTGATTTAGTCCCAGTTTAGTCCTGGTTTAGACCTGGTTTAGACCTGGTTTAGTCCTGTTGTAGTCCTGGTTTAGTCCTGTTGTAGTCCTGGTTTAGTCCTGGTTTAGTTGTGGTTTAGACCTGGTTTAGTCCTGGTTTAGTCCTGGTTTTGTCCTGGTTTAGTCCTGGTTTAGTCCTGGTTTAGTCCTTGTTTAGACTTGGTTTAGTCCTTGTTTAGGCCTGGTTTAGTCTTGGTTTAGACCTGGTTTAGACCTGGTTTAGTCCTGGTTTAGACCTGGTTTAGTCCTGGTTTAGACCTGGTTTAGTCCTGGTTTAGTCCTGGTTTAGTCCTGGTTTAGTCCTGGTTTAGTCCTGGTTTAGTCCTGGTTTAGTCCTGGTTTAGTCCTGGTTTAGTCCTGGTTTAGACCTGGTTTAGCCCTGGTTTAGTCCTGGTTTAGTCCTGGTTTAGACCTGGTTTAGTCCTGGTTTAGACCTGGTTTAGTCCTGGTTTAGTCCTGGTTTAGACCTGGTTTAGTCCTGGTTTAGACCTGGTTTAGTTCTGGTTTAGTCCTCGTTTAGACCTGGTTTAGACCTGGTTTAGTCCTGGTTTAGTCCTGGTTTAGACCTGGTTTAGTCCTGGTTTAGTCCTGGTTCCTGGTTTAGTCCTGGTTTAGTCCTGGTTTAGACCTGGTTTAGACCTGGTTTAGTCCTGGTTTAGTCCTGGTTTAGTCCTGGTTTAGACCTGGTTTAGTTCTGGTTTAGTCCTGGTTCAGTCCTGGTTTAGACCTGGTTTAATCCCGGTTTAGTCCTGGTTTAGACCTGGTTTAGTCCTGGTTCAGTCCTGGTTTAGTCCTGGTTTAGTCCTGGTTTAGACCTGGTTTAGACCTGGTTTAGTCCTGGTTTAGACCTGGTTTAGTCCTGGTTTAGTCCTGGTTTAGTCCTGGTTTAGTCCTGCCCACAGTGCACTGCAGCTTCCCTGTTTTACAAACGTTCTTTAATCAGTAAAGTGCATTTTAATCAAATAAAGTCCTGACACAATCATGAGTGTGAGCGTGAGTTTAGCGTCAGCTCAGAGTGAGCAGGACACTTGGCTCTGCGTCGGAGGAGCCGACTCCAGAGGAGACCTACAAAGACGTCTGTGGAGGAAGGATCCTGAGGACTGACAAACACACAGAGTTTTGTGACCTGTGGATGTGCTGTGTCCTGTTGTTTCAGGCCCGGGCCACAAGGGGCGCTAGAGAGAGGACCTCAGACGACCTGGAGTTACACCGGGTCAGATCCATGTGAGACCCGGACTTAGACCGGGTCAGATCCATGTGAGACCCGGACTTAGACCGGGTCAGATCCATGTGAGACCCGGACTTAGACCGGGTCAGATCCATGTGAGACCAGTGAGCTCCTGGATGTTCAATACATTTGTGTAAATACAGAATGACTTTAATCTGGTTACAACTTCTGATATGTTTAATCACACCCTAGGGTCAGTCACACTCTAGGGTCAGTCACACTCTAGGGTCAGTCACACTCTAGGGTCAGTCACACTCTAGGGTCAGTCACACTCTAGGGTCAGTCACACACACTCTAGGGTCAGTCACACTCTAGGGTCAGTCACCCTCTAGAGTCAGTCACACTCACACTCTAGGGTCAGTCACACTCTAGGGTCAGTCACACTCTAGCGTCAGTCACACCCTAGGGTCAGACACACTCTAGGGTCAGTCACACTCTAGGGTCAGACACACTCTAGGGTCAGTCACACTCTAGGGTCAGTCACACTCTAGGGTCATTCACACTCACACTCAGGGTCAGTCACACTCTAGGGTCAGTCACACTCTAGGGTCAGTCACACTCTAGGGTCAGTCACACTCTAGGGTCAGTCACACTCTAGGGTCAGACACACTCTAGGGTCAGTCACACTCTAGGGTCAGTCACACTCTCGGGTCAGTCACACTCACACTCTAGGGTCAGTCACACTCTAGGGTCAGTCACACTCTAGGGTCAGTCACACTCTAGGGTCAGTCACCCTCTAGAGTCAGTCACACTCACACTCTAGGGTCAGTCACACTCTAGGGTCAGTCACACTCTAGGGTCAGTCACACCTAGGGTCAGACACACTCTAGGGTCAGTCACACTCTAGGGTCAGACACACTCTAGGGTCAGTCACTCAGGGTCAGTCACACTCTAGGGTCAGTCACACTCTAGGGTCAGTCACACTCTAGGGTCAGTCACACTAGAGGGTCAGTCACACTCTAGGGTCAGTCACACTCTAGGGTCAGTCACACTCTAGGGTCAGTCACTCTAGGGTCAGTCACACCTAGGGTCAGACACACTCTAGGGTCAGTCACACTCTAGGGTCAGACACACTCTAGGGTCAGTCACACTCTAGGGTCAGTCACACTCACACTCTAGGGTCAGTCACACTCTAGGGTCAGTCACACTCTAGGGTCAGTCACAGTCTAGGGTCAGTCACACTCTAGGGTCAATCACACTCTGGGGTCAGTCACACTCAGGGTCAGTCACACTCAGGGTCAGTCACACTCTAGGGTCAGACACACTCTAGGGTCAGTCACACTCTAGGGTCATTCACACTCTATGGTCATTCACACTCTAGGGTCATTCACACTCTAGGGTCAGTCACACTCTAGGGTCAGTCACACTCTAGGGTCAGACACACTCTAGGGTCAGTCACACTCTAGGGTCAGTCACACTCTAGGGTCAGTCACACTCACACCCTACGGTCAGTCACACTGGAGGGTCCCTCACACTCTAGGGTCAGTCACACTCTAGGGTCAGTCACACTCTAGGGTCAGTCACACTCTAGGGTCAGTCACACTCTATGGTCATTCACACTCTAGGGTCAGTCACACTCTAGGGTCAGTCACACTCTAGGGTCAGTCACACTCTAGGGTCAGTCACACTCTAGGGTCAGTCACACTTTTGACCATCGTTCTTTTGTCGGTGTTTGTTTTTTGTACTTTGTTTTGGAGATTTTTCTGAGTTTAAACTCGTGTTGTGGATCTGCCTTGCGCCCTCTGCTTTTTTTGTCTGTGTTTTTTTTTAGGGGCTTGTTCATTTACAAAACAAAAAGACATAAAACACAGAAAAATTCAAGTATTTTTAACAACTTATACAAGCCCAAAGAAGTGTAGATATACTCATTATGTAGAAAAGAAACGAAATAAATCTGAATAAATAAATACAGAAATAAATGAATAAAAAAATAAATAAATAAATGAATAGGATACGAAAAATAAAGATACAAAAAATAGCAATAAATAAATAAGTAAATAAAAATGATGTCATTGAATTTAACGATGATATACTGTATTTGTATTATATTTGTGTTTTTTACTTACTGTACATACATTTATATATAATTTATGTCTTATTGATATTAGTCTCTTGCTGTTTTTTATTGATACTTATTTAGAAGTTTATTCCCATATATATTTGTTGTTTTTTTTTACTCTTTGTTATTGTAATATAATATAATATGATGTGTGAGCTTCTGTGTCCAAGTCATTTCCACTGTGGATCAATAAAGTTTGTTTAAATCTTATTTGTAATGTTCAATATCACATCATCACTAATTTGTAGTTTTGGAATTGACAGATTAAAATCTTTAATAAAATAATTTAATTTCATTGTAAAAAGAGTAAACATGAGAATCACCGTCCTGTCGAACCTGGACAGGACAGCGCCCTCTGCTGGACACACGTACAGGCCACAGGTCACAGTGTCGGGGAGTAACAGATTACAAGTACTGGCGTTAAGTAATCAGAGTACAAATGATGAGTAACTGTATTCAGTTACAGTTACTGTTTCAGTGAGTGGTAATTGGATTATAGTTACTTTGTCGAAATAAATGGATTACACAGAGGGATTTTCACATTTTGGACTAAACCAGAACTAAACCAGGACTAAACCAGGACTAAACCAGGACTAAACCAGGACTAAACCAGGACTAAACCAGGACTAAACCAGGACTAAACCAGGACTAAACGAGGACTAAACCAGGACTAAACCAGGACTAAACTAATACAATATGACAGTAACAGTATTTGGACATAATTGTGATTTCATATAAAAATAATTTCTCTGTCAATAATATTTTTAATCTGGTCAAGTAAAAACTGAACAAACATGAATTTTCAGGATGTGGTTGGTTCATTCATGTCGTTTTAAAAAACATGGGGGGGGGGGGGGGGGGGGGGGCTCAGGCTTTTACACAAATCTAAACATTCAGATTCCTCCCCCGCTGTCTCCGGAGCGTCTCTGTGTCTGCTCCTCCGGTTCCGCGCCTCTGGGTCCTCAGGTCTCTGGTCTCTGGTCTCTGGGTCCTCAGGTCTCTGGTCTCTGGTCTCTGGTCTCGGGTCCTCAGGTCCTCAGGTCTCTGGTCTCTGGTCCTCTGGTCTCTGGTCCTCTGGTCTCTGGTCTCTGGTCTCAGGTCTCAGGTCTCAGGTCTCAGGTCTCTGGTCTCGGGTGCTCTGGTCTCTGGTCTCGGGTCCTCAGGTCCTCAGGTCTCTGGTCTCGGGTCCTCAGGTCTCTGGTCTCGGGTCCTCAGGTCTCTGGTCTCGGGTCCTCAGGTCCTCTGGTCTCTGTTCTCTGGTCATCGGGTCTCTGGTCTCAGGTCCTCTGGTCTCGGGTCCTCTGGTCTCGGGTCCTCAGGTCCTCTGGTCCTCTGGTCCTCTGGTCCTCTGGTCCTCGGGTCCTCGGGTCCGCCCACAGGACACGGGTGTAATAACGGCGCGTGACCAGAGGCGGCGGTACAGCTCGGCTCGCGCGCAGCTGTGTCGGAGGGACGCGCGCGGCCCGGGCTCTTCTCTCGCGAGGATCGACGCCGTTATCGGAATTTGTTCAAACAACACGAGAATTCATCATCCGCACGGTAATCTAACGCACTGTGATCTACCGCCGTGTGTCTGCGGCGAGCGAGCGGCGTGTGCGCCCGCAGCGGCTCCTCTGTGTGTCCGGAGCCGCTTTATCCCCCCTCGGCCCCTCGGCCCCTCGGCTCCTCGGCTCCTCGGCCCGAGCCTTTGCTGCACTTTTGGCGGCGGTTAGGCCCCGTTAGCATCACATTAGCATCACGTTAGCCGCACTCCGCTCGGGTCTGTTAGCATTAGCATTAGCATTAGCTCGCTGCGCTGTGGACTGTTGAGTTTGTGTGAGTCTGGTCTGATTAAAACAACTACAGGTCGCTCGTGTCACTGCTCAGACGGTTGTTCCAGGTCCAAACGGAATATAAACTGACATATGACCCCACGTGTTTGCTCTTCACGTTCACACCCGCTCGGCTAAAGCGGCTAAGCTCATTTTGTAAACTCGTTTTGTAAAGTTTGAGTTGTGTCCGGGGACGAGACGGAACTCTGCAAATCCACAAGAGTCTCATCATTTTAGTTCAGTCATGAGGGAAATAAAAAGTCACAGCTGCAGGTCTGTTTAACTCTGTGCCCCCGAGTCACAGCGAGCAGATCTGACCAGACTGACCAGACGTCCCTTTTGACCCGGGACAGTTCCAGTTTTGAACCCGTGTCTCCTGTCCCAGCAGTTTTATGCAAAACCATTGATTTGACTAAAACTAAACCAGGACTACATCAGGTCTGAACCAGGTCTGAAGTAAGACTAAACCAGGACTACATCAGGACTAAACCAGGTCTAAACCAGGTCTAAAACAGGTCTAAAACAGGTCTAAAGCAGGACTAAAGCAGGACTAAACCAGGACCAAAGCAGGTATAAAACAGGTCTAAACCAGGACTAAAGCAGGACTAAAACAGGTCTAAAGCAGGACTAAAGCAGGTCTAAACCAGGACTAAACCAGGACTAAAACAGGTCTAAACCAGGATTAAAGCAGGACTACATCCGGTCTAAACCAGGTCTAAACCAGGACTAAACCAGGACTACATCCGGTCTAAACCAGGTCTAAAACAGGTCTAAACCAGGACTTAAACAGGTATAAACCAGGACTACATCTGGTCTAAAACAGGTCTAAAACAGGTCTAAACCTGGACTAAAACAGGTCTAAACCAGGACTAAAACAGGTCTAAACCTGGACTAAAACAGGTCTAAAACAGGACTTAAACCAGGACTAAAACAGGTCTAAACCAGGTCTAATCCAGGTCTAAACCAGGTCTAAACCAGGACTAAAACAGGTCTAAACCAGGACTAAACCAGGTCTAAACCAGGTCTAATCCAGGACTAAACCAGGTCTAAACCAGGACTAAACCAGGTCTAAAACACAGTTTCTGTCTAATCTGATTCTGCCAACAGAACAGAGGAGCATAATTTGTCATTTGTTTTGCCAAACACAGAAATCCGTGTTAGTGAATGACTCTGATTATGACACGAGAACGCACACTGTTCCACCAACTTTTCACGAAGAATCCCAACCCGAGTGTGTCCCAGTTGAGAATTTAGAAAATCTTGTCACTCTAACTTAGACGAACTTTATCCACAAGGGAAATAATTTGGACACCGCAGTCACACATCACAATATAATATAATAACAAAGAGTAAAAACTAAAATATTTCAAATTTCAAAATAAAAGAACTGGGACGTCGCTGGTTTGTGGTGGTTGGTGATCAGTGTTGGGAAGTTTGCTTTTAAAATGTAATCCCCTACAGATTACAGATTACATGCCCCAAAATGTAGTTTGTAACGTAATCCAGTAAATTACTTAAAGTGAGTAATGTAATCTGATTACTTTGGATTACTTGATTTGCTGTAGAGAAACAAAGACGAGGAAATCTTCACATAAAATGTTTTGTCTGATAAAAGAAAATAAAAAGCCCAGACTTTACTTAAACATATTTAAAATATTATTGATAGAAGAGGAGGAGACACGGTCCGTGCAGCATCGTTTAGTCCTGTTAAATCCTGTTTTAGTCCTGGTTTAATCTTGGTTTAGACCTGGTTTTGTACCTGGTTTAGACCTGGGTTTAGACTTGGTTTGGACCTGGGTTTAGACCTGGTTTAGTCCTGGTTTAATCTGAGTTTAGACCTGGTTTTAGAACTGGTTTAAACATGGTTTAGAACTGGTTTTAGTCCTGCTTTCGTCCTGGTTTAATCTGAGTTTAGACCTGGTTTTAGAACTGGTTTAATCTTGGTTTAGACCTGGTTTTAGACATGGTTTTGTACCTGGTTTAGACCTGGGTTTAGACTTGGTTTGGACCTGGTTTTAGACCTGGTTTAGAACTGGTTTAGACCTGGTTTTAGACTTGGTTTAGTGTTCGGCAATGAGTGGAAGTACCAAATAAAAAATAAAAAATGAATAGCCCAAAATGTGAAAACAGGAAAATCCCGCCATGTAATACATTTATTTCAGTGAAGTAACTGTAATCCAATTACCACTCACTGAAACTGTAACTGAATACAGTTACTCATAATTTGTACTCTGATTACGTAACTCCGGTACATGTAATTTGTTACTCCCTGACACTGTTGGTGATATTAAAATTGTAAAAAGTGTGTAATTAAGGAAAATTGTTCTGCAGAGACCATTTATGACGCTTTGTTTTTACGCAGATTTTTACAATTTTATCTAAACAAATAACAGATTATGCCTCTCCAGGGATCAGATTTGTCCAAAATAGAGACACCTGGAACATTTCTTGTACAAAACTGGGATGAATCACTGGTTTCGGATAAATCTGCCAGGACAGAGGACACAGGCTCAAAACTGGGACTGTTCCGGGTCAATTCATGCATCACGATTTTCTGATATTGTCATATTTTAGTTTTGGGATTCAGACATCGTAATTTTGTGGTTGTCGGATCCTAACAGCGGAAAACGACTCGAGAAACGGGCTTCGGAAGTTTGTGAAATCTGTAAGTACTAAAGTGAATCAGATGTGTGTGACTCAAACCTCCGTTCAAACTGTTTCTCTTCCCAACGAAATTTAAAAATAGTGAAAGGTGAAGGTGATGTAGAGGAGCAGAAGACAAACAGACTGAGCTGCACTTTCTTGTTCTTGTGGTTTTACAGAAACATCACATCTTGGTCTCTTTGCAGTGGAAGGTGTTTCTTGGTGAACAGCTGGAGCTTTTCACTTTGGCGTTGACTTTTTAAATTCATAACCGAGGTTGAGTGAAGGATCGAGGTTATGCTTTGTTGTCGCTCAACATACAAAATGTTCTCTGTAAACTCGGGATGATTTCTTAGTCAGACAAATGTTTCCTTTTTGGTTCTTCCCGTGGATCAATCCTGCCCATCACCTTCACCTTTCACTATTTTTCACTTCTGTTGGGAAGAGAAACAGTTTGAACAGAGGTTTGAGTCACACACATCTGATTCACTTTTGCATTTATTGAGTTCACAAATTTCTCGAGTCGTTTTCCGCTGTTAGGATCCAACAACCACACAATTACTGGGGATGGGCATGATTAGTCGATTAACCGATAATTGATCATTAAGAATTTCATTGATTCCGTTCATTTTAATGGACAAACTGAATGTATGTTTGTGTGTCGTGACCAAACAGGTGTGTACATGTGTCTCTGCATCAGAAGGAGCGAGACACAAACAGTGTTTCAGTCTGTAACGAACCGAAGCACAAATGTGGATTTAACCAGGATTTGTAGAAGAAATTCCACACTTTCCGTTGCGTTGGGACAAGTGTGAGTCCATGTGCACAGTGGATAAAGCAGCACATATGTTTCTGTGTCCAGTGGGAAAAAGTTTTTCCAGGTGAGAGTCGCTCAATGTGGATGACGAGGCCCCGCCCCCCTCCCCCCGTACGCTGTCCTGGTTTTGACAAACACAAATCTGGTCACACTGACCTGTATTCACCTGAGTCATGTCTTTTAATCCAACACAAGTTGAACCACATCAGCGACACAAGAGCTGGAGTTTTATCTTCACTTAGTTTATGTAAATTAGTGATGTGGTTTTAAGTTTTGTTTCTGTGAGATTTGAACAAAACTGAATTAAACACATTATAATGTCAAACAGCTGATGTGGATCTAGAGTCGTTATGTTTATATGTCGTAAAGTTGAATTTATTTATGCAGATTAGTGCAGATAGTAATAATAATGATGATCATTTTAATATAAAACGTTAATGATTAATCGATAATCAATCGTTAATTCTTCCGACGATCGATTAAGAAAATTTCATCGAATGCTCGTCCCTAACTATTACGATGTCCAAATCCCAAAACTAAAATATGACAATATCAGAACCAGAAACAAAAGTGATATGGTTGAAAAGACTTGAAAAGATCGACTTTGTCAATAGACACATCCCACTGGGAAAACAAACATGGAGGTTTGATGATCACTTTTTCAGAAAATCCTTCCCAGTGTGAACCGCACGATGACTGGAAGTCTGAAATTCGTGATTCATGTTTAGAGACGACTGGTCACCCTGAGCAAACAAGACAACAAGAGACAGGTATAAAATGTTAAAGCGCAAATAAGAATAACAGAAAACGTAGTGGTTTTCAGGAAAATCTGCTGCACCCTTCTAGCTCCCTCACTCAGTCACTCACTTATTAACACTTTTTAATGTGAATGTAATAAAAAATATGATCATGAGCAAAAAAAAAAAAACCAAACATCCGTACAGTCCCCACAGCGGAGAGTTTTAAGTCTCGTTTTAAGACCCACTTTTCCTCTCTGGATTTTAACCCAGCGTGAGTCGTGTGCTCCTCTGTCTTTTATTTATGTAAAATTTATTGCTTTTATTTGTTTATTGCTATTCTGTGTTTTCACTCTTACTCTATTTTACTGATTTTATTGTTTTAAGATGAGTAGGATTAAATCTGAGTGTTTATTTATTTAGATTATTTTCTTGTTGTTGTTATTATGTATTTGTGCTGCGTTTTCATTTGTTTATGAAATGTGATACAGAAATAAAGGGGATTGGATTGAAAAAACTCAGCACTTCTCCCTCAATGTTCACACAATCCCTGAGTTCAGTGTCATACAAGCATAAAGCAGAAAAACCATCTGTATTATTATTATTATTTAGTAAGAAAAAAATTCAATAAATGCTGTACAATGGAGACGCAGGAATGGTCCGTGTGCCATTAGTTTTTTTGTTTTTTTTATTTCAATTAAGAAAGAAAAACAGTTTATTTAATTTTTCTGTTTTAGTGTCAATATTTAATTTAAAGTTTATTTCAAATCACACCCATCCAATCAAAAAAACGTCTTGGTACTGATTTTAATTGTGGTATTTTATTTTCTCTGGTTTATTTGAAGTTCTGCTGCTGAAGGACGAACCTGAAAAATCGTTGCGGTTTCGTGGACAAACATGTTTTTTTCTTTTACAGTGACGCTTTTATTTTTGCGTCTCAGGAAGTCGTTGTTGATCCATGACGAGGAACTGGAAGCAGCGAGGTCAGACTTGGGCTTTGTCCAGCTCCAGATCCACGTTCGGTCCTTTAGTCGACTCTGATCGGCCCGGTTAAGCTCATTCGGAATCACAAAATAAACATATTTTATCATTTTACCTTCTGCATCTACTAAAGCTGCGTTGCTTTTATTTTAGACGTGTTTTGTAAATTACATTTTTTGTTCGGCAAACTCTTTTTCATTGTTTAGTCAGAACATAAACTCTTCAGTCTGAGCAGCTCGTCACAACAATGAGATTTACTCCTTTTTAAAAAAAAATAAAGAAATACAACTAACATTATGCACAATATTTTCTGTTTCTCATGTGGCCTCAGGGAAAAACTAATTGCTCACCCCTGACCTCGGCGATAAACTCCTCCTGAATTCAGAGGTGGCGCCGAGCAGCAGAACTTCATAAAGACCAGAGAAAATAAAATATCAAAATGAAAATAATAGGCACGAGACTGTTTTTTGATTGGTGTGATTTGAAATAAACTTTAAATCAAATATTGGAAATAGAAGTTGAATCTGTTATTTTGTTTGACACTAAAACTGAAAAATAAAATAATCTGTTTTCTCATTTTGTTGTTTTTTGTTCTTAATTGAAATGGAAAAGAACCAATAGTACACGAACGAGGAATCCACACAAGAGACTCGTTTTTATTGTCACCTCAAATATGGAGCATATTTCACTGTTACCTGTTTGTTTGTTATAAAAATCCAAGTGTAACATCTTTGAGGTAAACACTGAAAATGAAAGGATGAACTGTTTTAATTCTGAATGTGATGAGCTGAACTCGTTTGTTTGTTTTTTGGTTTTTTTCAGTGTTTGGGTCTAAAATGTCGGGGCAGGAGTTGGACCAGATCGTTCAAATCACAGTGGAAGACTTTGACCAGGACGGCCGCACAGGTAAAACTCTACAACAACTTCTCTAAATCAAAGCCTGACTTGTGTTTTCTGTAGTTAAAGCTGCACTGTGTAACATTTCTACTGGAGGGTTCACTACCTGCTTGTCTCCATGGAAATGTTTTGGTTTCTCTTGTACAGGAGAGTCAAACTGAAACTCACAGAGGCCGAAATTAAAAACTGGGACTAAGTCGTGGGACAAACTTAATATTTATTGAAAAATTTCAACAACATCTGCATGTTTTCTCTTCTTTTGGGATTTGTAATGTTAAACATTTTCTTATTCAAATAAATGTTAACAATAGTTTTGCTTAAACACTGAATCCAGAACAAGCAGAATATAAAATAATAACAACTAGGAATGGACATGATTAGTCCATTAATCGATAATTGATCATTAAGAATTTCATCAATTACCTTCATTTTAATGGTCAAACTGAATGTATGTGTGTGTGTCGTGACCAAACAGGTGTGTACATGTGTCTCTGCATCAGAAGGAGCGAGACACAAACAGTGGGTCAGTCTGTAACGAACCGAAGCACAAATGTGGATTTAACCAGGATTTGTAGAAGAAATTCCACACTTTCCGTTGCGTTGGGACAAGTGTGAGTCCATGTGCACAGTGGATAAAGCAGCACATATGTTTCTGTGTCCAGTGGGAAAAAGTTTTTCCAGGTGAGAGTCGCTCAATGTGGATGACGAGGCCCCGCCCCCCTCCCCCCGTAACGCTGTCCTGGTTTTGACAAACACAAATCTGGTCACACTGACCTGTATTCACCTGAGTCATGTCTTTTAATCCAACACAAGTTGAACCACATCAGCGACACAAGAGCTGGAGTTTTATCTTCACTTAGTTTATGTAAATTAGTGATGTGGTTTTAAGTTTTGTTTCTGTGAGATTTGAACAAAACTGAATTAAACACATTATAATGTCAAACAGCTGATGTGGATCTAGAGTCGTTATGTTTATATGTCGTAAAGTTGAATTTATTTATGCAGATTAGTGCAGATAGTAATAATAATGATGATCATTTTAATATAAAAATGTTAATGATTAATCAATAATCGATCGTTAATTCTTCCGATGATCGATTAAGAACATTTCATCGAATGCCCGTCCCTAATAACAACATTTTAAGTAAATCATGTCTCTAAAGCCTATCTGTAGTTTGGTTAAACTTATTCTGTTCTGTTGTTTATAGTTTATCTGAAGAACTGTAAAATATGTGACGTTAACAGTCTGTTCTTCTCTCTTCTATTGTTTTTACTAGAACATCACTTTACAAAAGAAATGTCGGCTCCTGCTCTCTCATTTTATAAAATAAATTTCCCCCAAAAAGTGCAATTTATAGTCCGAAAAAATTAAAAATAAATAAGGAACAAAATCAGGCCAAAACCAGCTAAAGAAAGGCCAACAGATAAAAAAGTGTCTTAAAAAGTGTTTTAAAAGATGATGCTGATGGTGTGAGTTTTATCTCCTCAGGCAGGTCGTTCAAAGCCGAGACGCCCGGACTGAAAAGGCTCCATCAGCCTTCGTCCGGATCTTAAATCTTAAATCAAATCTTAAACACAAAGGCAGCTGATGAAGTGAAGTTAAAACAGAAAATGTGTTGATGTTTGTTCAAACCAGTGAGGAGGGAAGAGCAAAAGCAGCTCGGACTAAAGCTGGAGAAGGAGCTGCGTACAGTTAAAGTCTGATTTCATATTTAGAAATTGTCGCTAAAGAGAAAAAAAATAAATGTATGATTAAAAAAAAATGAACAAAACAAAATCATGTACAAATTATGCTCAACAATACACCACAAGAAAGAGTGTGTGAAAACCAGTTTTTAGGAGTAACTATAGAACAGACCTGGACACACTGACTCTGACCGGCTGTTTAAGCTCACAAAATAAACATATTTTTTGATTTTACCTCATGCCTGGACTAAAACAGAAAAAATCTGAATATACCTGTGATGGAAACAAATGAATCAATCAGTGTTTAAAGTCAAACAGTGGAACATTCCAGGCAAAGCAGTAAGATCCCCACGGAGACGAGCAGAAAAGTTAGAACTTTTTGGCTGCGTTCACACTGCACCTGAAGTTCCCAAATCAGATTTTTTGTCTCTGTGTTCCTGTATCTGATCTTTTAATGTCAGTCTGAACCAATCAGATCTGATTTTTTTTCAAACATGACCCAGGACACTTGGATCTGTGCTCCTGAAACTGATACATATCTGATCTTTTGACATGTGACTTCAGTGTGAACGGTCAAAGTGCATTCATCCACCTACACGTTATCAACAAGACACAAACGTCACTATTCTGCACTGAAGTAGGAGAAAACTGTTCATGATCCATGTGACTGAAGTGAAGCACATCTCCACTCACCACAAAACACCACCACCAAAAACCTGGTCCTTCTCCTTCTCAATCTCCTCCTTAAAACAAGTCAGTTGTTCATGTTGTGGCTCCGGTACGAGAGGAACTTTAAAATCTCCAGGTGCTCGATGCTGCGTCCATGTTTGTTCAACTTGTGTAAAGACAGAGACGCTCGCTGCGGTTGACGTCGTCGTGTCTCCAGTGTCACATGTGGGACACTTTTGGACCGTTTAATGTTCACACTGGAGTCACATTTAACTGGAAATGTGAACGACCTCGAAAAAACATCGAATTTCACAAAAAAATCCGAATTGAGCGTTAGGCTACGTTCAGACTGCAGGGTTTAACACTCAGTTCCGACCGGGCCCCTATTTAATTCGGAATAATTAATTCGGAATTAAAAAACATGTAAACGTGTCCAATTTAATTTAAATCAATATTGATCTAAAACCAGTTCATAAAGAAACAAGTGAGACGACTTCGGTGTTTGAAAAGTGCGGTGTCCAACGGAGCTGACGTGAACGTAAACGTCATGACAACAAATTAAATGAAATTTAATTCAAGTTTATTTCTATACCAAAAGAAACTACTAGATATATCGAATATTTCAGTATTTTTGCACACTCCTAATGTTCAGTGTGTCTATGGAATAATGTCAGAATATACCTGTGACAAAAACAAATACAGTGGAACATTCCAGACAAAGCAATAAGATCCCCACGGAGACGAGCAGAAAAGTTACGCAGTGCACCTTTTAATAGTGTGTTTTCTCAGATTTGTCGTTGCATTTTCCGTGTGTTTTGAGTTTTCTGTTTGTTTTTTGATGAACTGCAGATCTGCTGGAAAATGAGAACGAAGACGACGACGAAAGGCCTCAGAGAAAAAAGAAAAAAATAAGCCAAGAAAACGACATAAGTTTTCTTAAGGTACGACTCAGTTTGAACTTTATGTGAAGAAGTGAACATCGTCATTGTGTTTTGTTTCAGTCACACACGTTTAACACACAAACCACAAACACACAAAAGACAGAAAACACAGCTTTATGTCGTGTGGCGATACAGGAAGTGCTCCACTGTGTTTTTAAACTCCACACACCTTCACTAGAATCATTTCAGTCCAATCCTTGTGGAACTTCTGGTTTTTCTGTGTAAATGTGTGTGTGTGTAAATGTGTGTGTGTAAATGTGTGTATATATGTGTGTCTAAGTGTGTGTGTGTGTAAATGTGTGTGTGTGTAAATATGTGTATAAATGTGTATGTGTAAGTGTGTATGTGTAAGTGTGTGTGTGTAAATGTGTGTGTGTGTGTGTGTATGTGTGTGTAAATGTGTGTGTGTGTAAATGTGTGTGTGTGTAAATGTGTGTAAATGTGTGTGTGTGTGTGTAAATGTGTAAGTGTGTGTGTAAATGTGTGTGTGTGTAAATGTGTGTGTAAATGTGTGTGTGTGTTTGTAAATGTGTGTGTGTGTTTGTAAATGTGTAAATGTGTGTGTGTAAATGTGTGTGTGTGTGTGTGTAAATGTGTGTGTGTGTGTGTGTAAATGTGTGTGTGTGTAAATGTGTGTGTATAAGTGTGTGTGTGTAAGTGTGTGTAAATGTGTGTGTATGTGTGTGTAAATGTGTAAATGTGTGTGTGTATATGTGTGTAAATGTGTAAATGTGTGTGTGTAAATGTGTGTGTATATGTGTGTAAATGTGTAAATGTGTGTGTATATGTGTGTAAATGTGTAAATGTGTGTGTGTGTGTGTAAGTGTGTGTGTGACTTAAAGTTCCCAGGCGTCCTTTTTGTTTAATACAGAACCTTTTTAAATCATAAAAAACAGGCTCACATTTGTAATTTCTCTCTCTCTCTTCAGAACTATTTGATCTCGTTCACCACATCAGTGAATCAGAGGCTGGAGGGCATCGAGTCCAAGTTGTTGGCGCTGGATGCCACGTGCAAAGCTCTCGGGCGAAAGCTGGACTTCCTGGTGCCCGGAGCCAAGAGCCCCATCCAGGTGCCCATGGTGGCCGGGTCGCCTCAGGGAGCCACGCAGACCTGGAACAAAGTCAGATGGTACAAATGCTCTCTCACTATAGACACTTTGCAGGGGGTGTTCTACGTGTGTGTGTATACATGCTTCACGAATTTTGGACTTCCGGTCATCGTGCAGGTCACACTGGGAATGATCCTCCGAAAAATCAAGATCAAAGATCAAACCTCCATGTTTGTTTTCCCAGTGGGATGTGTCTATTGATAAAGTCGATCTTCTCAAGTCTTTTGAACCATATCACTTTTGTTTCTGGTTCTAATATTGTCATATTTTAGTTTTGGGATATGGACATCGTCATTGTTGTGGGTGTTGGATCCTAACAGCGGAAAACGACTCGAGAAATGTGTTTGTGAACAACATAAATGCAAAAGTGAATCAGATGTGTGTGACTCAAACCTCCGTTCAAACTGTTTCTCTTCCCAACGGAATTGAAAAATAGTGAAAGGTGAAGGTGATGGGCAGGATTGATCCACAGGAAGAACCAAAAAGGAAACATTTGTCTGACTAAGAAATCATCCCGAGTTTACAGAGAACATTTTGTATGTGGAGCGACAGCAAAGCAAAATCCTGATCCTTCGTTCAACCTCGGTTATGAATTTAAAAAGTCGACAACAAAGTGAAAGTCTCCAACTGTTCACCAAGAAACACCTTCCACTGCAAAGAGACCAAGACGTGATGTTGCTGTAAAACCACAAGAACAAGAAAGTGCAGCTCAGTCTGTTTGTCTTCTGCTCCTCTACATTAACAAATGGGATTTTGTTTTGTCGTCCGCTGTTAGGATCCAACACCCACAACAATTACGATGTCCGAATCCCAAAACTAAAATATGACAATATCAGAACCAGAAACAAAAGTGATATGGTTCAAAAGACTTGAGAAGATC